CACCCCCCATCCCCATCACCTCCTGTCCCCACCATCCCCCATCCCCATCACCCCCCGTCCCCATCATCCCTCGTCCCCATCACCCCCCGCTCCCCCTCTCTCGCATGGCACAGGTTGGGGACCCACAGGACAAACCGAGGCATGCTGCAGGTTTGGGGGTCCCTGACCCCCCCCCCCCACCCTCCAGCCATCGCACAGTGCCCCGGGGGTGGGCGGGGGTCCCACTTACATTGATAGAGGGCCAGGACTGGGCGTGCTCAGCTCTGGCATAGGCAGCAGCCGTCCGGTCAGGGATGGGAAATCCGGCACAGAAGGAGGCACAGCGCACGGCCCCGGCCTCGGGGCTGGGGGGTCCGGGGTCCGCCCAGTCCTCCTCATCTGATGACTGCTTCTCAAAGCGCAGGTGCTCCTCGAAGGGCTCCCGGGCGCTCAGCGGCGCCCCCGCCCCCCCCAGGTACACCTCACCGTAGGGCCGGTGCTTGGGGAGCGTGGAAGCTTCGGGCTGCAGCCAGAGCGCGCGGCTCTGCTGATACGGGGCCACGTTGGTCACCTCCGAGTAGCTGCGACGGCCCTGGAAGCCGGCCTTGATGTGGCGGCTGGAGGGTTTGGCGTAGCCCAGCTCCATCCTCTCGCCGGGCAGGCGGTGCGGAGATGCCGACGCCGGGGATGGGCACGGAGGTGGGGCCGGGGAGCGGCGCTGCGGGGCGGGCGAGGGGCTGGAGGGGGGCACGGGCGAACGGCGCTGCTGGGCCGGAGACTGGCAGGGTCCCGGGGCGGGTGAACGGCGCTGTTGGGCTGGAGATTGGCACTGAGGGGCCGGTGAGCGCCGCTGCAGCGCCGGGGATTGGCACTGAGGGGCCGGAGGGCGGCCGGGAGCGGGCGAGGGGCACTGCGGGGCGGGCGAGCGGCGCTGCTGGGCTGGGGAATGGCACTGAGACAGAGGAGAATGGCGCTGACCTGCGGGGAGAAGGAGGGAGGGGGCACAGGAAATCCCCCCGTCAGGTGGGCAGCGTTCCTCCTGCGCGTGTTGGGTGGCACGGGGGGGTGGGAGCTGGCAGGAGGGGCGGTTATGGGATGGAGCGATGGCCGCAGGAGGGACGCCCTGGGCTGGCAGTCCCCAGGAGCGGGGCTCGCAGCAGGGATGCTGACAGGGTGGGCGCTCCCAGGACGGATGCTCACGGGACGGATGAAGCTCTGCACCAACCCCAGGGGGAGGGCAGCCAGCGCCCTCTGTTCCTTACAGCCCCATCAGCCCAGGCTGCCCTCCTCCTTACCACCGTTGAGGCTCTTCTCCTGAAGCAGCGCACGCAGGATCTGGCTCTGCAGGGAGCTGAGGTTGCGCAGGCGGCACAGCTCCTCCGTCAGCTCCGTGTAGGCCAGCGCCAGGTTCACCCTGTGTCAAGGACAGAGTTGTCACACAGGACAATGCACGGCCCTGCTGGCACCACCACCAAACTTCCCCCAAACTTGGACTTTTGCACTCAAAAGGGAAAAGTTGTGGCCACGCGTTGCTGCCCCAGGCGCCGGGAGAAGCAGCAGCACGGACGCGGCGCTTCCCAAAGGCCCTGCCAAAGTCATCAGATCTTCCTCAAATTGGGTGTCGCTGTTAAAAAACAGATTCTCTGTGGTGATGTGAAGGGAGAACCCATCTCCTGTGGTACCCGCGGGGCTGTCAGGCTCGGTGAGCCCAGCAAGGTGACGTGAGCTGCTGTGACACCGCGGGGACCGGGAGCTGCTGTGCCTAACTGCAGCCGACAGGGCTGCCCTGTGCTGCTGGACTGTGAGGTTGTGTGGGGGAAAGAGAGAAGGGGAAAAGAAGGGGGAATGGAAAGGGAAGAAGGGAAAGAAGGGGAGAGGAAGGGGAGAGGAAAGGAAGTGAATTGGAAGGGGAGAGGAGAGGAGAGGAGAGGAGAGGAGAGGAGAGGAGAG